CCAACTACAGAGTTCGTTAGCAGCATCTTTTGATTTTAAATGACTGATAATCTACTCTCCCAGTGGAGGTCATTAAAATAAATTTTAGATCGGTCAAACAACCCCTTGAAGTTCAGTTTACCTTCTGCCAGCTTGTCCTAAAAAACAGTAATGTCACGCTGCAATGCCCTCTGCTGGGAGACGCGACTTGGAGCTGGAAGGAGAGCTCCCAGTTCGTGTCCTCAAGCAAGGAACAGATATTTGCAATGAGATGGACTGGATTTTCACCTTCTATGTGAAATCCTGACCCCGCTGAAATCAGTGGGGTTCTAGCTTTTAATTTTCACTTTGCCCTTAATCATTCCCCCTTTCGAAAACCGCACTGTTATTAACTACACTGGAAAAAAAAAGGTTTATTTCAAGTCCAAATGAAAACCTCATTACTGACTTACAGACATGAGGATCTTCTTTTAGCATTTATTGAGCTCCTAGCGAGAGGTTTTATAAGGAAGCTTTCAGCTGCAAAAGACGTTGTTCCTCTTGACATTCTTCTAAGTCATTTTAACTGTAAAAGCCTGTACAAAATCACACATGCAAATAGCATTCGTGTTACACAGGTGTGACTCTGCCTAACATGTATTTTCACTGAACAGGATTCTTGTACTGAGACAAGGAAGCCAGGCAAATGTTATGCAGTAAAGCAAAGGAGTATATCTGGAACCTGATGTGTGAGAACACCAAACCTGTCAACTGCCATCTCCCACTCCCTCTGAGATGCAGCTTCCTGAGGCCTGAGGAAGAAAAGTCTGAATCGGCCCTGCTGAGGAGTGGGATACTGGTGTGGAGTACACACAAACGGCAATCTTCCCCCGCACATGCATACTGGCGCTGCGACCCCATGGCTTACAGGCTAGTTATTCCCAGCTCACAATTCATCTGGAGAATCAACCCTGAAAAATATTTTCCAGCCTTGGCAAGGGTGATGTAACACTATCGCTGCTTTGGTTTCAGCTCCCATGTCCCTCAGCTAGGATGGTCTTGCGTGTTGTTTGTCTCTCACCGCAGCTGTGCAATGGGCAGCAAGTAGGAAGGATTTTTCCACAATAGCCCCCAGTCCTCTCTGCTGGACGCCTGCTCCTTACTACTCATGTTCCACAGCTTAGGTCCTTCCCGGCAGGCCAATTATTTTATATTTACTACTACTTATTATTTCTATCTTTTAGATGGAAACATTTTTTCCTTGTGATGAGAGGTTTCCTCTGCATTAACCTGCTTTACCACCGTGTGCCTCCCTCTGCCCTGCTTTACAGGGACAGACACCCTTGGTGCCAGAGAATGCAGGTGCAGTAAAGCCACACAGTGCCTGGCAACACCATTTTTATTTGAAGTTGCACATAATTATCATTGATTTGGAAGTGTGACCTTCTTGATACACAGCCTTACAAGCTAACCGTTTTTTTCCAGAAACAACTTTACAATGTTTGTTATGCCCTCACGGAGATCGAAATGTCATGGTTATAAGCAGTTTTCAAGACTATGCCAGGTTTGTTAAAAGGCCCCCAGACAAGTGGGTTTTTGCTTTGTACACTGTCCTGAAAACCTTCTGCTTCCTTTGGTAAGCACCACAATGTCGCACTCGTTTGAAAATGGGCATGTGTGGCTACAAACATCCAAAAATATGTTTACCCCTGACAGCAAGGGCTCAGATTGTCACTCTGGACACTTACCTGCTCTTCTCAGGAATATCTTCCTTTGCAAGAGAACTGGGTATCCCAGGGACCAGGTGGTGGGTGCTCACATACCCTAACCCTGAAATGATTAATTTGAGGGACGGTTGAAAGTAACTGAAAGTTGTTCCAGTCTTGATGCCAGTCTGGTCCCTCATGGGTGAGGCAGCTGTGCCAGAAAACCGAACTGAAAATCCACCCTCTGAGCTGGCACCTTTGATGGAAGGATCGGCAATGAAGTCCAAGACTGGATTGGCCTCCAGTTTATACTGCCCTCTGATCCAAGGCTGTCTCTCAACATCACAAACGAATAACGTTATATGAGGAATCTTGCACACGCTGCTATTTTTGCTGCCAAGCCATCTTTCGAGAAGTTGTCTCCCAGTCTGATATCTCTACACAGAATAATTTCATCCACAGAAATGCTTGCTAGTGGTTAAATTATGGCCAAGAATCTACATTCAGCCTGAATTCGCTCATGTTGATGCACTGTACCACTACTGGAAAATAAGTGTGGTGTCACTCAGAATGATATTGTACTGGAGTGTGACCAGGAACAGGATTAGAGCAATATCCTGTGACTGGGAGCAAGAAGTTGAACGGGTTCTACATTTGCTGGAGGCAACAGAACACCTTTGTGAGAGGCAGGCACTGTGCTACCTCCATCACAGCTTCTGGGGCAAAAGATGGGAAGACAGACAGGACTGCAACACGCCGTCACCACACCAAAAAGAAGAGTGCCTCCCTGCATTCCTTTCCCTCCTGGCTGGCAGCAGGTAGCACTAGGAAATGACAGCTTTGGTATTCCCTGGCTCTGCTGACCTCTATGGTCACCCAAGCCCTGGAGAGTTCATCATTCAGAGAAGAGGGCTGAGGAAAGCTCTGCTCAACCTCAATTAAGGCTTTCTTTGGTTCCCAGAGAAAAAAGAGGAGGCAAATTAACATCCTGCCCCAGGAAGCTTTTTTGTCCTGATGACTGTGGTGGCTTTTGCCAGTTTTATCAACACGTCTGAGAAAGCTTGCAGTAGCTTGAGGATTAGAGAACATGATGGCTTCCACCCAGGACAGCCTTCCAGCTTCCTGTCCTCTCTTCCTAAGGACACACTGAGAAAGCATCAGAAAAAAAAAAGCAGCAGCATCATTCAAAGTGGTCATTCTGTACTTTTCCAGCCCTCAGCAGTCAGTAACCTTTCTGTTTGCACCAATATAAGCCCCAAGCCGTCAGTGGGAGACATGATTTGCACAAGCAAATTCACTCATTTCGTAAGAGAGGGCAAAATTCAGGGAGTGACTTCAACTCCTTTCTCCTGGCCACAGCTTAGCTGAAGGCCCAGTATGTCAGATTCACCTCAGTGTTATTCCAGGGACTGGTCTGGAATCAATTTGACCCAGTAAGTCTCTTTGATTGCATCATGCCTTTCAAAAGTTTTGAACAACAAGGATCTAAACAGCAGGCAGCAATCTGCACAAAAACAATCTTTGCAGTTTAAGGAATTTTTAAAGGTCTGTGCCTCCTTTTTTTTCTTTTGTTTTTTTTCTTTTTTGTTTCAGATGCTTTCCAACTGAGCAAATGCTGCAGCGGGTTCATGGGAGAAGGCCTTGAGGCACCCCCGACTTTGGCACTGTTATCCCATAGACACTCCATACATTTTTGGCACCTTGCAGCAGACACATTGACAGCCACAGGATTGATGGAAAGGGAAAGAAGCTGTTTTGCAGTCAAAAGAGAAATGTACTCGGATTTCTAAGGCCATTTGAAAGAATGCCAGAGTGATACTGGATTTCGGCATTCTTAAGCTCCTTTAAGATGATGCAGCAAGTGGTCTTTTCCACATGTGATGATGTATTTCAGGACAAGAGTTTCTTCAAGATTTTCCAAGCCTGTGGGCTCCTGATCCTTTTTCAAATTACAGAGATGATAGCATACCAGGGAGAACTGTGATTAGTTTAAACTCTCCACAGCTGCGAGAGATGAATGTAAAAATTCCATCAAAAAATCCTCTTCTTCTGGATTGAATTTACCTACATGACACCGAGTCCTGACCAAGGGACCACTTAAAAGACCTGGAGCAGCATCAACACTATTTAGTTTCTTCCATCACATCAACCCAGGGAAGGCTCACAACTGTTCTACCCAACACATCTCCCCCAGCAGCACTGCCATGATACGGGCTGGGGTATTAACGAAGCCCCGAGATGCATGGGGAGGAAAACGGAACGATGAAATAAAAGCTTAAGTACGAGGGAATTCAAACAGGGCTTGCAACTCATTACTTGAAGTGCCAGGAGAACTGTAAAACACCTTGTAACCAAGAGGCTTTGCTTGGAGCTGTTAAGGACTACAGCCCCCACTTCATCACAGGCTGAAAAATTTTGAACGGTCTTGGCAACAGGGGGGACAAGCACCGAGCTTTCTGACAGCTGACCTGAGGAGACAGCAATGCTTTGTTTTGCTTAACAGGACCTCTCTCCCTCTCTCTAAATTGCTTCTTTGGGTTTCTAATCGAATATAATAATGCAACTACCTGAAAGGAGGTTGTAGAGAGGTGGGGGTCGGTCTCTTCTCCCAAGTAACAAGCGATAGGATGAGAAGGAACGGCCTCAAGCTGCGCCAGGGGAAGTTTAGCTTGGAGACTAGGAAAAACTTCTTCACTGAAAGGGCAGGCAGGCACTGGAACAGGCTGCCCAGGGAAGTGGTTGAGTCCCTATCCCTGGAGGTATTTAAAAGACAGGTAGACGTGGTGCTTGAGGACAGGGTTTAGTGGTGGACTTGGCAGTGACAGGTTAATGGTTGGACTTGAGGATCTTAAGGGTCTTTTCCAACCTTAACAATTCTATGATTCTATGAATATACAGCATTCACCTCCCATCATTTGTCTCGAAGCATCGGCATTGACGGAGCTGGCAGTGGGCCCACCTTGAGGCATTTGACCTTCCGCTTGTCTCTGAAGACGGAGGGGGCCGGAGCACGCACTGGAAGACCAGTGACTGATACCCCCTACATTTATCTGGATTTGTTAACGTGGTGATAGGCAAGACCCTGTTTTATTGGACTTTCCTCAAAAATGCTGAATAAAGCGCAAAACAACAAAAAAATAAATCCCGCTTGCTTAAGTTGTCTCTTTGTCAAGGGAAGGGAGGCCTGTAGCACTACTGCACGAAGCCCCAGAAACCCGACAGCCAGGTGGGAGGGCTGCAGCCTCAGCACCTCAGCTGAAACCGGCCCGAACCGGCCCGAACCGGCTGGACGCAGCTGCTCCGGGGGGTGCCAGAGCCTGGCCCCGCGGTCCCCGAATGCGGTAAGGGATGGCTGCTCGGGAGCGTAACTGTTTTTAAGGGGGCAAGGGCCATTCTCTCAACAAGTGTTTCTAATCTATGCAAGGCTTCTCCTGCAGGGCTTAGAGAAGTGTAACCGTTTCTTTTTGCTCTAAGCAGACCGATATACAGCATACTGGACTATATTACAAATACATTAAGCATAAACTCTATTTTATGTCTTCCACTCCACCCCGTGAGGAGGCATGCCCTAAATACCAAACCGTAATCCTCACAGCTGTATCAGGTAACGTTTCCCCAAAACGTTCCTGACGGCGGCCTGAGGCGTTCCCGCGGCGGAGGGCCCAGCCGCGGCGGGAGCGCGGCTGGTTAGAGCTAGGCTGGCGGGGAAAAAAAGCGTCAGTATCTGTAGTCGTGGCCGAGTGGTTAAGGCGATGGACTAGAAATCCATTGGGGTCTCCCCGCGCAGGTTCGAATCCTGCCGACTACGGTTAGAGCGTAACAGCTCGGGGACGATTTTGTTTGGTTTTGGCTTTTTTTTCGCCCCCGTCATCCCTGCCTCCCGGGGCGGCAGGCGGGGCGGGCCGGGCGCCCGGCTGCGGACAAGCTCCACAGGCGCCCCACCGGCACCCCCCACACCCCGCCGGCCGCGAAGACTCCGCCCCTTGCCGGCGCTGGGCGGTGCGGGGCCGCCTTGGCAACCGCCGG